GGCTGTTGCAAATTGCCAATAGGAAAAACGCCTCAAATGAAAAAAAGTGTGGCCAATTTGGGATTTTGGGCTGAAAATTGCCTGGTGGCAACCCTTTCCCCTGGGGATTTTCCGCTAGAACCCGGTTTCAAAAAATCGCCAAAACCTCTAAATCTGAAAAAGGCAGTGGAAGGCGGGACCCGCCACTGATTGGAGGAGACCAAAATGCATAGAAAAGTTGCTATTCACTTCTACGCTCAAACGCCTAATGAAGCGGCCAGAGGAGTTTTTTCGGCTCCCGGTCGCACTTTGGAGGCAAATTTCCGAAAAATCCGAAAACTTTTGAGTGGCCGAATTATGCGCAAATTTCCACAGTGTGCAGGTGAACGAACAGTTGATGGTGGCATGATGGCGGCCATAAGGCGTGCCCGGCACAAGATGCGGACGACACATCCATCATGCAAGCAGCAGCAGCAGCAGCAGGAAGCAGCCATGATGATAATCGAGGCCGTAGAGGCGAGTTTCCTCTGGCTCGCACGAAATTAGCAATAAACAAACGAAAAACAATGAAATAAATCGTTTCATCGGGGCGATTAATCAGCAGTGGCGGCGGCCCGCTCGATGATGAAACGTCCGAATCGAGTGAATTAATGTTTCCAGGTTTCGAATCAGGTATCGGACATATTTTATTCGATAAATAAAAGCCGGTTTTTGTTTAAATTTAACGACTGAAGCGAATTAATCACTGGCGTGTTTGGTCGGGTGGCGCATTTTCCACCACCGGTCCTTGTCCGGTTCACTCACTCCCACTCAGCTTGCATCGCCCGTCCTCGTCTTCACTGGCCCCCCGATTGGCCACAAATCAACGGCATTCCACCTCGAATGGAATCTTCACAGTTTCTTCTTCTTCGGGCTTAACTTATTGAAAGGATTCGAATGGATTCATCACTGACACGGACGCGGACACTCAGCATGGAACCAATGGCGGCCATCAACTCGGTAACTGCCTGGGATGGACGGGGAATGGGAATTTGCGCCCCGAATAATTGGGGAAAAACAGCAGCGGCCCCCCAGTCTCCACCTCTAACCCTTTCCGGCGATTGTGCCCGGAAAAAAAAGGGAAAATGTCGGTTTGGCTGCCCCAAAAACTACCGGTTTGGCTCACACATCTTCAGAAGACTTCACTTGTTCTTCCACAAAAGTCCCCACCGACCCAGGGAGGAAAACCTTGTTGTGGAAGTGCAAACCTTCAAACCTCCATTACTCCCCATCAAATGCCCCCCAACTTCAGACACTTTGGCAACAAAGCAGATCGCAGGCAAAGTCTGAGGATGGGCGGGTTTCGAAATTTGTTCACTTTTTGGGCGATTTTGGTGGTTTTGGAGCGTCCCCGCATTGGCAAATGACCAAATGTGAACTTGCCCAGTTGCGAAATTGCCAGATTTCGCGAATTTTTTTGGGATTTTTTGGCGAAAACGTTGTTGGGATTTAAGCGCAAACTGTTCCTCCGAGGTGTTGAGAAACGTTTGCGCTCGATCGGTTGGGACAGTGCAGACATTTTATCAAGAGCGCCTTTTTTCGCTGGGAAGCTTTGTTTTCGAAGGAAAAAAATAAAGGTCGAAATCGACCATTTTTCCTGGGGAAAATTTGAACCGGAAATTTTTTGGAATTTTTCGTTGCTGACTTGTTCAGATAGACAAAACGCATCAACAAACCAGTTTAGCAGCTTCCCCAAAAAATCCCCCCTTGATCTAGAAAGGAAAAGCGAAAAACTCACTACAGGCTCTTATGGAAGTTGGAACTTCAAACCGTCATATCTTCCCCAAATTTCCCCCGAATGGCCCCATTTTCACACACGGAACTTTTCCCGCATATTCGAACAGATTTCAGAAGACTTGGCAGCGATGGGAATCCAGGGGGGGAAGTTCTCCATTTAAGACCCATGCAAAACGAGTTTGAGACCAAAAACGTCTGCAAATGGCCGTTTTTTCGAAACTTATGTGCGTTGATAACTTTTTCAGACCGTTTAAGGCCTCCTAAGTGAAAATCTGCTAGAAAATCAACCACACAAAAAATTGCCAGTTTTGGAGAATTTTCCCACGAAATTGGGCCGAAAACTCAAAAATCCTAAATAGTTCGCTTAAAAGGCACCATAGAGCAAAAGTGAATACCAACTTTTTTATGTAGTTTGGCCCCTTCCGTCTAACGGCGTTTTCCATATTGGCCCACCGTATTTAGTTTTGGAGATATTTGAGGTTTTTTTGAAACAACGTTTTTGCGATTTATGCGAAAACTGTTGCCGGAAAGTCTTTGGAACATTCTTGTTTGGGTACCTGGGTACCGTGCGGACATTTGATCAAGAGCCCCGTTTTTCACAAGGATGCTTAGTTTCCGCGCAAAAAAATAAAATTTGAAAATCACGAAAAATTCTAAGGGAAGGGAAATTTAATTTGGCGATATTTGCCATTGCAGGGCTTTCCATATGGATAAAATACACGCCAAAGTGAGTTGGTTTGTTCCGCAACTGAATTTCCCATTGAACCAGGGGGAAAAATCCAAAAACTCACTACAGGCTCTTATGGGGGCTGGAACTTCAAACCTTCATAACTTCGCCAAAACACCCCCAAATCTCCCCAGCTTCACACACATAGTTTTTTCGGCACATTTGAACAGATTTAGAGCCAATTTGCAGCGATGGGGCTTCAGGGGGGAAAGCTCCCCATTTAAGTCCTATACAAAATGTGTTTGAGGCTAAAAAAGCCAGAGAATGCCGGATTTTTGGAAATTTATGAGCGATAATGGCTTTTTCAGACCGTTTATGGCCTACTGAGCGAAAATCTGCTCAAAATTCAACCTCAAAAAAAATTGCCAGCTTTGGAAAATTTTCGCACGAAATTGGGCCGAAAACTCAAAAATCCTAAATAACTCGCTTAAAAGGCACCGTAGAGGAAAACTGGATACCAGCTTTTTTGTACAGTTTGGCTCGGGCTCTCTAGTGGGCTTATTCGAATTGGCGCAGCATTTTTAGTTTCGGAGATGTTTAGGATTCCTTGCAAACGACGTTTTTGGGATTTATTCGAAAACTCTTCCTCGAAAGCGTCTCGGGAAAATTTTGTTGAATACTTTGGGCCAGTGCCGACATTTAATCTTAATTAGAATTTTAAAGCTGATGATGGCGCTGTTGTCTCGCCGAAACGTAATAAGATAAACGATATTACAAAAATGATTACTTCACACTTTGACTGAGACCCAGAAAAGATAGGAATATCATAACAAGTACATGCAGTCAGGAAAATAAATCAGAACTTCCCCAAATGCCCCCCGAATGGCCCCATTGCAACACGCATAACTTTTCCGGAGTATTCGGGCAGATTTAAGGCCAATTGACCGCAATGGAGCTTCAGGGGGGACGGCCCCCACGCAGCCTGAGGATGGCCACTGTTCAAAAACTTTGGGCGAAAAAAATGTTGGTTTTTCGTTTGGTCGACGAGTAACAACTGGTTCACTCAAAAAAGTGTCGCATAGTCAATCAGCCCACTTGACTGAACGGTCATCAGCCTCTCGCTGTAGAAAGTCATCAACAAGCCACTTAGCTTAATGCTTTTGCGCATCAAGCGTGCCATTTACTTAGGCCCAAGGCCCTGTCATTGTTGATCTTCCACATTCTTCAAAAAGCCAAAGTAGGCGCGCAAAAACAACATGGCGACCAGACGGTACGGAACCCGTGGGTTGTCATGGCACCGAAACATAACCTGCAACTGTCACTCAGTGGGGGTGACAAGTGACACGTGTCAAACACTTACATTTCATGCGTTTGGGACAGTCCTGCTTCCGTCTGGGCATCTTGTGGGGGGCTGTGATGGGGGCAGGCGCCTCCAGCCTCCTCAAGTGGCGCAAAATTTTGCCGAATTTTCACTGCAGCACCAAACAACAGAAATCGTCCATTTAACAACAACAACAACAACAACAACAACAGCAACAACAACAATTTAGGTTAGGGGCTAAACATCACCAGAATCACATAATATAATAATCGTATACATGAGAGAGTAGTGGTGGTTGGTGGTGTGTCAAAAAGTTTGACAGGTTCCGCGGAGTCACAGAAAAATCGCGCGTGTCACTCCGTCAGTCGTCCGTCGGCCGCCCGTGATAGACAATGTGAAAACAAATGGACATCGGGTGAATGAAAGAGCCGACAACAACGAACCATCCGGCTTGTAGCGCCTTGGCGGACTAAAAGTGAGTGACAGCGCGGAGCGCGACGTTACCCCCACCACTGCGGCGATCAGGTTCGAAACGTCGGGGAGCGCGCGAAGCGTCGCCGGCGTCCACAAGAAGACGATCGGGCGATTATGATTTTCCTGTCGCAGAGTTGCCGCGTCCCGCCCCTGTCTCACCACTCGAACTAACCGCTGTGGCTGCCCGACACCCGCCAGGCCCAGGTAATCGAGCACAAGCCGGCACCGCCGGCCCGTCATGTCTCGTCATCGGGCAGATCGAGTCTTTCAACGCGGTTAATGCGCAGCGATTGGGGTCAGTTCGACAAGGGGGCGGCGCCCAACGCCGAGGCTCCGCCCCCCACTGAACAAAGCAAAGAGGTACTGGCCGCATTCTGAGCGCCCGTCGGCCTGTCAATCAAGTTGGCGGCCGCGTGCTTTATTGCGCCTGGTAGTTTGTGCGTGTTGCCGCCAAAAAGTGCTGCCGCCAACAGGTGCTAATAGGTGGGGGGGGCGGAGCCCCGCTATTTTCCCACTGAAAGTCCGCTGATTTTCCCTAGATCTCGGGATTTAATTGAGGCGACTTTGTGGGGAAACCCTGCCCTCACCTCACCATGTGCAGCACTCTTGATTGGGGAAAAAGCCTCAATTTCTCACGCCCTTGACGGCCTGAAGCAGAGCAACATCAAATCATTTACAGGAAATTCGGAAATCCTCAAAAACCCTTTGAGTTATGACTTGTGGAAGCAGGCAACTCATTGGTGTTCAGTTTTCAGGTTAATTTTGGCGAGAACTCGCCTATTTACGGGCGGAATTTTGAAATTCAAGACGCGAAAGTTGCGGAACTGCCGGGTCTTCAAACTTGCCAGACAATATCGCCAAAGCCTCAAAAATCCTTTGAGTTGTCACTCTTAAAAGAATAAACTCGTTGATTTTTAGATTTCTGGGTCATTTCAGCTGCAACTGCCCTTGTTTACGCACTGAATGTTAAAATTCAACAACAGAAAGTTGAGAAACTCCACGCCCTTAAACCTCATAAAAAGATATGGCGAAAACCGCAATAATCCTCTGAGTTATGTTGGTTAGTTAGAAGAAAAAAACTCGTTGATTTTCAGATTTTTGGTTAATTTAGCTGCAACTTCCTTATTTCCTCGCAGAATTTTAAAATTCGGAAACGCGAAGTTGAGGAACTCCACTCTCTTAGACCTAGAAAGAAACAGATCGCGAATACCTCAAAAAGCCCTTGAGTTATGACTCTTAGAAGAAAAAAAATCGTTGATTTTCAGTTGTCAGGTAAATTTCAGCTGCAATTCCCTTAGTTACTCGCAGCATCTTAAAATTCAAAAACTCGAAGTTGCAAAACTCGATTACCTTAAATCTGAAAAGAAAATACCTTGAAAACCTCAAAAATCCTTTGAGTTATGGCCTTTAGAGGAAAAAACTCGTTGACTTTCAGATTTCAGGTTAATTTCAGCTACAACTCCCTTAAATTAAGCGCAACATGTTAAAACGGAGAAACCYGAAGTTGCAAAACTCCATGGCCTTAAATCYGAMAAGARACTACCTAGAAAACCTCMAAAAACCTTTGAGTTATGGCCTTTAGAGGAAAAAACTCGTTGACTTTCAGATTTTAGGTTAATTTCAGCTACAACTCCCTTATATTACGCGCAAAATGTTAAAACTCATAAACCCGAAGTTGCCAAACGCCATGGCCTTAAATCTGAAAAGAAAATACCTTGAAAACCTCAAAACTCCTTTGAGTTATGGCCTTTGGAGGAAATTTTCGGTTAATTTCAGCTGCAGCTCCCTTATGCACGCGCAAAATGGTGGAATTCGAAAACGGGAAGTTGAAGAACTCCACGCTTTTCAACCTCAAAAAAACCGATTGCGAAAACCTCAAAAAGCCGTTGAGTTATGACTCAAATTAAAAACTTCTTTATTTTCAGATTTCAAGTTAATTTCAGCTGCAATTCCCTTATTTACGCGCACAATCAAGAAATTGAAAACGGAAAAGTTGCGACACTCCATGCCCTTCCACCTCAAAAACCTCAAAAATCTGTTGAGTTATGACTCCTAGAGGAAAAAAACTCGTTGATTTTCAGATTTCAGGTTATTATCAGCTGCAACTCCTTTATGTACGCGCAAAATGTTGGAATTCTAAAACTCCATGCTGTTACACCTCAAACAAACAGATCGCAAAATCCTCAAACAGCCTTTAAGTTATGACTCAAATTAAAAACTCCTTGATTTTCAGATTTCAAGTTAATTTCAGCTGCAACTCCCTTCTTTATGCGTACAATCAAGAAATTAAAAATGGGAAAGTTGCGACACTCATGCCCTTCCACCTCAAAAACACACGTGTTTCAAAAACCTCAAAAATCTGATGAGTTATGATTCCTAGAGGAAAAAAACTCGTTCATTTTCAGATTTCAGGTTAATTTCGGCTGCAACTCCCTTATTTACCGGAAAAATGTGGAAATTGAAAAACGGCGAGTTGAGGAACTGCGCGCTCTTAATCCTCAAAAAGAGATATCGCGAAAACCTCAGAAATCCCTTGTGTTATGACTCTTGGAATAATTAAAATCATTGAGTTTCAGGTTAATTTTGGCCAGAACTCGCTTATTTATCGGCAGAATTTGGAAATTTAAGGACCGAAAGTTGAGGAACTTTTCGCTCTTGCAGCACACCTAAAAACGTTGGCAAATCCCTCAAAAATCCTCAAAGTTTCGAGGCTTCGAGTAGACGCTCCTTGATTTTCTAGAGAAGTTTGGCGCAAAACTTGGTGAAATTATTCGAGCAAAAATCCACACGCTGCAAATTTTGCAGCAAATCAGTTCAAATCTGAAAAACCGGTGCCAACGAGCGGAAACTTCGCGATCGCCCCCGGTAGGCGGCAGCCGACCAATGAGACGAGTCGTCGGCCTCTTGACAGTCGTGTGTCCGATGCAAAGTCGATCGTGAACGCGTGCTGGTTTGTGTATCGATTCCGTCCAGTTTGGCCCGTTTGGGGTCTGAAAAAGACGAAAAACCACTCGGTAAGCATCCGTGTACCACGTTAAAGATAAATTCAGTGCTCTTTGCGCTTTGGCCGCCCGAAAAGGCCCGTTCAATCGCACAAAACGCCAGCATAACCTGAAAGCTTGGCATCGGCTCCTCGTCGTTTTGGCCATGAGCACGCTGTACCGGGCGCGCACAACAAGTTCGCCTAATTGGCTACCGGGGCGCAAATCACGGCAATAAATCGGCATTTATAGCGAGAGCGCATAAACTGCGACTGGCCTGATGGCATTTATGCGTGCAAATACCTGCAAGCAGGTTTTAATCTTGGCCTGTTGAGAAACCTGGCCGCCAGCCATTCCTAATTAATACCGTGTAAACGTAGTAGTAAGTTCAGCGATTAAGCTATTTGTGGGGAAAACGGTCGTCGCCTTAATTTAGTGCTCGCCATTTATGCGTTATTAAGTGGGGGCCCCAGTGGGGCTCCGCTCTAGCCGGTCCTGCATGTGTGGCCCCAGCAATTGCGCCCTGCATTTCGACCAGTTTTCGACGACTTCGGATCGGGCCTGAGAAAAACCCATATGGGTCCGGTCTGGCGTGTCGTATCTGCTTGATTTACTGCGGACATGTTGGGGCTTTGTGCGCATCAAGTCCCATCCGGCACTGGACAGTACTGGGGCTTTTGATTTTATGTGATTTCTATGCTAATTTCGCCAGCGGGACCAGTGGCGGCCCGAATTTGGATCTTTCCTTTCAGGAGATTTCGGGCAATTTGTGTGGGTTTTCACGGGGTTGTTGGGATTTTGGTTTTTTGTCAATTTTGTCAGAACTTGTTCGAGTTTGCTGAGGAAATTCTGTGCGTGAAAATGCAGGCATTTGGGGGTCATTTGGGGAAGTTGTGAAGGTTTGAAGTGCCAGCCCCCATAAGAGCCTGTAGTGAGTTCTTCGTTTTTTTCCCGATAGGCCAGGGGGGGATTTTYCGGSGAAACTTTCAAAGTAGTTTGAGGATGCCATTTGTCCATCTGAACAGTTCGGCGAAAAAAAATTTTCAAAAGTMAAAAAAAAAWWTTGCTCTGAAATTTCAGGGGGYTGTGACCCAGGAAAACTGGGCATTTTTTACGTTTATTTTTTTTGCTCGAAAATAARGCTTCCCAGCGAAAAATGGTGCTCTTGGTAAAATGTGCGGACTGTCCCGGGGTATCYTAMAAAAAWTGTTCCAGCCGCTTTGGAGGCAGAGTTTTTGCATAAATCYCAAAAACSTGGTTTCCAAAAAATCCTAAATATCTCCAAAACTAAAAATGCTGCGCCAATTCGGATAAGYCCACTAGAGAGCCCGAGCCTRMACTGCACAAAAACGCTGGTATTCACTTTTCCTCTACGGTGCCTTTTAAGCGAGCTATTTAKGATTTYTRARTTTTCGGCCCAATMTCGTGCRAAAATTTTCYAAAACYKGTAATTTTTTTTGCGGTTGAATTTTGAGCAGATTTTCACTTAGAAGGCCTTAAACGGTCAGAAAAAGTCATTCTCGCTCATMAATTTCCAAAAAAACGCCATTCTCAGGCCTTTTTAGCCTCAAACACATTTTGCATGGGACTTAAATGGGGAGCTTTCCCCCCTGAAGCTCYATCGCTGCAAATTGGCCCTAAATCTGTTCAAATGTGTCGGAAAAACTATGTGTGTGAATCTGGGGAGATTTGGGGGCGTTTTGGGAGAGTTATAAAGGTTTGAAGTTCCAGCCCCCATAAGAGCCTGTAGTGAGTTTTTATGTTTTTCCTCCTGGTTCAATGGGGAATTTAGCTGCGGAACAAACAAACTCAGTTTGGCGTGTATTTTATCCATATGGAAAGCCCTGCAATGGCAAATATCGCAAAATAAAATTTTGAATTTTTGCTCCAAAAATGAGCCCTTCCAAACCCTTAGGATTTTTCGTGATTTTCACATTTTATTTTTTTGCGCGAAAACGAAGCGGCCTAGTGAAAAACGGGTCTCTTGATCAAATATCCGTACGGTACCCAAGTACCCAAAGAAAAAATTTCCAAATACTTTCCGGCTATAGTTTTCGCATAAATCACAAAAACGTTGTTGCCAAAGAATCGCAAATATCTCCAAAACTAGATACGCTGGGCTAATATGGAAATCGCCGTTACACGGAAGGGGCCAAACTACATAAAAAAGTTGGTATTGACTTTTGCTCTACGGTGTCATTTAAGCGAGCTATTTACGATTTTTGAGTTTTCGGATCAATCTCGTGCGAAAATTTTCCAAAACTGGCAATTTTTTATGCCGCTGAATTTTGAGCAGATTTTTACTTACGAGGTCTTAATCGGTCGGAAAAGTCATTATCGCTCATAAATTTCCAAAAAACCGCCATTTTCAGGCGTTTTTAGTCTCAAACTCATTTTGCATGGGTCTTAAATGGGGAACTTCCCCCCCTGGATTCCTATCCCTGCCAAATCTCCTGAAATCTGTTCGAATATGCCGGAAAGTTCGGTGTGTGAAAATGGGGCCATTTGGGGGAAATTTGGGGAAGATATGACGGTTTGAAGTTCCAGCTTCCATAAGAGCCTGTAGTGAGTTTTTCGCGTTTCCTTTCTGGATCAGGGGGCGATTTTTGGGGGAAATTGCTAAACTGGTTTGATGGTGCGTTATGTCCATCTGAACAAGTCAGCAACAAAAATTTTCGAAAAATCCCAAAAAATCCCCAGGAAAAATGGACGACCAGGAAAATGTTGACCTTTATTTTTTTTCTTCGAAAACAAAGCTTCCCAGCTAAAAATGGTGCTCTTGATAAAATGTGCGGACTGTCCCGGGGTATCCAAGAAAAATTGTTGCAGCCGCTTGTGAGGAAGTGTTTTCGCATAAACTCCAAAAACGCTGTTTCCAAAAGACGCAGGCACCCTTCGGGACACTCCACTAGACAGACAGACGAGGCCAAACTGCACACAAAAGCTGATATTCACTTGCCCTCTAAACCCAACAGGAAGCGAGCTAAGGCCGATTTTCCGATTTCGAGCCCAAAAACTCCTAGTGGGCTATTTTTTTTCCACGCAGTTAATTGTCTACGGCCGAACAAATACCGGCGCCCTCTAGGAACAATCTGGCGTAGACCAAATTGTGTGTGTCAATAAGTGTCAATGTCTTGGGAGAGAGCGACGGACGCCACTGGCCGGGCCGATTATTCGGGCATTCCGGCCGGTTCTTTGTGTTTTCCGGGGATTTATTGTGGGATTTTGAAGTATTTATTACGGATCGCGCGCCATCGCAACCTCCACGGTAATGGAAATGGAACCGAAACGGTTACATAAAGATGAATATTTATCGGCATCGACTTGACTCGACGGCCAACGTTGATGAATATAATTAAAAAGTCAACTGGCTGACATTCGACGGGTTATTTATCGTTTATTGGGCTCTGATCGCTCGAATTTATGAACCGGTGAGACCCCCACTAATTAACGAAAAAATCTAATAAAATTAAAAAAAGAACCGACCCGTGAAAAGGAGAATCCGATTCCATTCTGGAAACAAAATCTATCTATTATCGCTTCTAATGCGGCTTGAGATGATGGATCTGCTACTGGGCCAGCGTTGCCGGATGTTAAATGAACATCGACAATTTTGCCAGAAGTTTTGATCAAGCACTGCAAGGAATAAGCGCTAGGTACACAAGAATCGACCGCCTCTCGTGTGACGTCACTTGTCTTACAGTTTAGATCATTAACCGATCAGATCAGCCGGGGCTACTTTTCCTGTATGAAAAAAAAACAAAAAAAATAATCATAACTCGTCCAGAAGGGCGGGCTGTCAAAGCCACATCGCATAAAGCATGCCATGGAAAGAAAGAGACGCTCAGCGTCGTCGACGTCGAGACTAAATTACGCCCGGCCGGATTATGTGTTCGGTGCCTGTCCATAAGTCATATTAAGACTACACAAAACTGGCCATAAATCTGTCAAACGCGAAGAGAGGGCCATGGCAGGCAGCCATCATGGCGGCAGGGCGACGCTGCCAATGTTGCCATCAGTGTGTTTAGCTAGGTCCCCCCCGGCCGCCCCCCTGAAAAAACCAATAAGTGAATGATGATAAAGCAGAGCTCTGTATCGGCAGCAGGTAAAGCACCCAGACGACTTGATTAGGGCTTGCTGCAAATGCCCGCATTTTGTTGGAGGGACGAGGCGCCGCTGCGCGCCGTTGGGGCCGCTCGGCCCCATTAACGTGCGTAATGGGGGGCCGCGTAAGACAGGGCGCGCAGAAATACATCGATTAGACATAACAAAGTCGGGAGACGTACTCCATATCGGAACACCGGGGGGATTCGATCAGGGGCGTGCTCCCATTAGCCAACCACCCTTTTAGTTGAGCACAATTTTGCCTTTGGGCACGCCACTGCAACGCCATTGAAACGAGATTTTCCGGGGGTTTTAGACTAAGGTGTTTGAAGGGGTTCTGCGAAGACAGCAAAAATCAACGCCCCGTGCGATTCGCATGAAGTTTTCCACATTGTTAGAAACAGGTCTCTTCTAGAGGCTGGAAAAATTTCCAATCGCTGCTTGCTCCAGATTGGAAGCCAGGAATTTTTGAAGCGAAGCGTGCTCTTGTGGCAAAGCGCTGATTTTTCGGCGAACGTTCACTAAGGCAGCGCAAACCAGGATTCCGGGCCATTTTAATGAAATTTTCCAGATTTTGGGACTGGAGAGTCTGCTGCTCCTACTTACTCCCCGGTTAGTTTTTTCCCCAAAAAAAAATGTGCACTAATGGCCCAATCCAGCCCTGTGCACCTGCAGCATTACTCGACGGCACGACATACGCGCAATGCCCCCACAGTGAGTCAGACAAAGACAGCGCTAGTGGGGCAGGGCCTGGCAAGCCACTTTAGACGTTGCACGACAGGCCCGGCTTCCATTTAATTTAGTCGCTTGCACCGGGTTTTTAGGGGGGCAATCGAAAAAGTGTGCTTTTCTCCTGTTTTTATACATATAAATGAGCATTCAAGCAGTGGCGTGCTTGAGAAACCTCGTTAAACCGCACGCCACTGTCCGCGCCACTGTCTTTGAGGGCGAATTTTCAAATTTCTCGCTCTGGACCGATCAATTGTAGACTTTTGCGGGTGGTTCAGTGGTGTGCCTTAAGGGCAAAACATGTTTTTTTGTCGCATCGCAAATCGATTGCTCTGGCAGGCCAGTGTCGTGCGACACTGGGAATAACAACAGCGAGAAAATCCTCGGCACGCCACTGGGATGCTTTGCATCCCCCGATAAGCAGGCCGTTGAGTGGACGACGAGCGGTCTAAGGTAGAGAGTCAGCGATGGGGCTGCGGCCCCATAAATCGCCCCGATAGCGAGCCGATAAATGGCTGTAAATCGTCGAATATCTTTTATGTGCTCCTTGGGGGCCTAACATTCGCTGTTTTCAGCGCGACACTGAATTTTACACACAAAAAAACACCCTTTAAAGTGTCTAAAGCGATGGTTTTTCGCCCGCTTTCCAGATCGTCGCCAGCAGCTAAAATGGACTATGAGGACGACGCCCATTTCTGTCTGAAATGTCACTCGACCATCATGGGCCTGGACAACTACGTGACGCACCGCAAGAGCGCCGCCTGCCGGAAGCTGCACCCCGACCCGTCAAAGTCGCCGCTGGAAGAAGTGGAGGAGGAAATCGGGCTTAAAGCCGACGACTTCTTCTCGTCGCTGGAGCTGCGCAGCAGCAGCTCCGTCAAACCAGTGGTGTCCGCGTCGGGGAAGGGGTTCAGCGGCATTCTGACGCGCAGCAAGTACAGTGCGGCGCTGCAAGCGTCCACATCAAAGGAGCCGGTGGAGTCCAAGTCCGGGAAGAACGTGTGGATCGGCGGCAACCAGCTGAAGGACTTGGGCACGGGCGACAACCAGTCCAAGCTGATCAAGGCGGTGGCCAATCTGGAGCGGCGCAAAGACGCCGCCCCTGCCGATTCCCCGCCCCGGATAGCTGGTGGGAGCCCCGCCCCTCATTGCCGTGGGTCTCTAATTGGCGATTTCTGCAGGAGCGGCTGTTTATGAGGACTCTGATGACGACTCCGAGGTGTTCGACTACGAGGAGGACGAAACGTCGGACGAGGACCAGCCGCCCCAGGGCCACACGGGCGGCAAATGGAAGCCCAGCTCGCCAGTGCCGTGGCAGGCCCCCAGCTCCCCAGGGGGCGGCAAGCGCCCCACCTGCCCCCCGCCCACCTACACCAAGGGCAAGTGGAAGCCCGCTGAAGAGGAGGCTGTGGCCCCGCCCACGGCGGGCGGCAAGTTCGCCCCCACCTCGCCCTCGCCAACTCCAGGTAGGCTTTCCTTTGCCCCACTCCAGCCCCTAACCACGCGCTTCCAGGGCCGGAGGCGAAGAAGAGGCGGCCCAAGGGGGCGGTCAAGCCGCTCAAGTCGCCCACTGGCAGGCGGCAGTTCTGGTGCCGCCCCTGCAACCGCTCGCTGGCCTCCAAGGTGGTGTTCCAGCGCCATCTGCGCTCGGGGCTGCACCACAAGCGCTCGAAGGCGCAGCCCCTACCAGCCCCTGCCCTCCCAGAGGCCGCGCCCCCATCGTCTAAACGGCCCCGCCTCCACACGTGCGCAGTGTGTCGCGCCAAAGTGAAAAAGCCCCTGATGGGCAAGCACTTGATCTCCCACTACCACTTCAGTAGGGGGGACATTTCGTCGCCAGCCAATCGGCAGCTGGTGCTCGACAACATCCTGGGCGTGGTCCTCGAGAGCCCCTTCCAGTGCAACATGTGCAAGTTCTACTGCAACACCTTGGGCCAGTTCGTCGCCCATTGGCGCAGTGGGGCGCACCTGGCCGAGGAGCTGAAGCGCCCAGACGGACACTTCCTGTGCGACTTCTGCCGCCACAAGGCGCCCTCCTCCGAGCAGATGCTCAGCCACTTGGAGTCGGCCGAACACCTGGAGGTGGCGCAAGCCATCAACCGATCGGTGCCGATCTGCATTCGGCGCCTCCAGGAAATCCCGTGCTCGGTCTGTTGGCAGCGCTTCGTGCTCAATCGGCAGCTTCTAACCCACTCTCGGCTGCACCACCCCGACCCGATGGGGGATGAGGTGCACCAGTGCGGGCGGTGCCCCAAGGTGCTCGGCTCCGCCATCTCGCTGCAGCAGCACCTGCGCAGGGCGCACCAGGAGCCCTCCTATTTCTGCAACACTTGCGCCATGCGCTTCAAAAGTGGGGAGGAGGCGCGCAAGCATCGCCTGTCCATCCAGCACAGGTGGGCGCGCTTCGCTGCACCCCAACACATTGTTTGCATGGGGCTGTTGCAGATACGCGCGCCTGGACCTGGCCAAGGACGGGCGCCAGCGGCGCCGCTGCCAGCACTGCGGGGACATGTTCCAGAACTTCCTCCTGCTGAAGGAGCACCTGGGGCTGCGCCACCCCGAGCACAAAATTCGGTGAGTCGTTGCCGCCCCCGCCCTCCAGGTGATGGAATCGCAACGTTCCGCAGGTGCCCCCAGTGCGGCGCCCAGTTCATCATCCCGCAGGAGCTGACCAACCACCTGAAGAACTGCACGTTCCCCACGGGGGAGCCGTCCCAGAGCAGCAGCTTCAGTTGCGACCGCTGCGCCTACTCCTCCAACTCCTCCGCCGAGCTGCTCTTCCACGTGGCGCTCCATAAGGCCCCCGACCCCAGCACCAGGCCCAAACTGAAGTGTCCCTTATGCGAGCGGCTGTTCCCCAGAAACTCCCTGCAGGCGCATCTGCGCATCCACACGCAGGAGCGGTGAGTGGGCCAGTGATCAGAGGGCGCTGAGTGTGAGGTTGGTTTGCAGGCCGTACGAGTGCAAGGTTTGCTATGCGCGCTTTGCGCGCAAGAGCAACCTGCAGAACCACCAGAAGAACCACGAAAGGGTGCAGGCCGCCCCCCGGAAAGCCGCCACTGACCCGGACGATCGCGCCTTCCTCTGCTCGACGTGCGGCACTGGATTCAACCGACGGTAAGCGTTTCCTGTCCTTTCGATCAACTGAAGCAAGTTCTTTTGCCCATAACTCCGCAACAGATGGTAGGATTGCGAAAGTCAAAACACCCCTAGAAAGCCTGTGAAATTCCCCACAAGTTTTCGGGGTAAAGTCTCGCATTCGTCCATTAACAACGCGGCCAAATGGAAACTAACCAGGTCGCCCCTCAAGGACAAAACCTTGACACATCAACACGGTCTTTAGCCCTCCATAACTCCCTAATGAGTCGAGGGATTTCAACACGCCCAACTGCATCAACAAGCCCTTTAAATTCCGCAGTGTTTAAGGTTAACCAGCCGGTTGAGCAGAGGCAAACATTTAAGCAAAAGGGGGATGACTTACGCCCCCGGCCTAATCCGCTGGGCAAATGTTTGGTTCGGCTGGGCGGCCCATAAATCTGTCATTTCCAGCGGATTTACGGGCCGCGTTGGGTTCCCATCAAGGGGGCATCAATCGTGCGGCCGCAGAACCGTGACTGCAGCGGCGGCGTTCATAATTCTTCGCCTTATGACAGCGGATTAACTTCTTTGGCTGATTTATCGCGCGTTTTCCGCTCGAGGTCGTTGAACCCGCGTCAACTTTGACGTTGACTGTCAGAATTTGAATGGGACGGAGGGCGCCATCTGTGCGCGGCAATTAATCAACAGTTTAGCCGTGAAGGTGTGCACGACGATAATTCACCGGACCACCGCACTACTCTAATTACGCGCCGTAAATAAGGGCGCAAATGCTCACTGTCCGATTTATGTCCCGTTGGCGCTGCCTCCACTTCACCAACTGGCCCACAAACACCACTTTTTCCTGGCACTAATTGTTAACGGCACGCCGTATATTACCGGGGGCGGTTTAAGCATAGTCAAACAGCCAGCGGCGGAGCCACATCGTGTTCGCGAGTTGATTTGACACTTGTCTGGTTGACATTGATTGCGTCCCAACCAGAAAAGCTGGAATTTTCAATTGACAAGTGTCAACTGTCACTCGACAACGAGTAATTTTCACAGTTTTCTGGACGTTTCAGCTTCACCCTCCAACAGCACATGCTGATCCACAGCGGCAAGATCAACCGCTGCCCAGAACCGGGATGCTCGTATATCGCTCGCAAAAAGTACGAACTGGATGAACACCAGCGCATCCATAGTAGCGAGCGGCTGTATGGGTGCGACCTTTGCGAGTACCGCAGCAAAACCAAAAAGCTTCTCAGACGGTAAGTTCATGGTGGGGTAATTTTCGGTAAAATTTAAAAAAAAAGAAGAAAAATGTTGCACTGTTGCCGCAACTCTGAACTAGTTTTGTTGCACCACTCGGTGCGGTGCAGTCGCGATAGCATAAATTAGATGAGAGCACCACACTTGTTCGGCGCGGGAACCGCAGGAATTAATTGACGTTCGGCCATGTAATTAGGCGACTATCGCAGATGAAATCGGCCTGGCCGCGCTTGTCCGAACGTCAAGCGCGCAGACTTTATTGTCACGATCGGGTTCTAAGCAGTGGCGGCGCCGTTGTTGCAGGCACATAGACGTGCATGAGGGCGTGGCCGGCAGGCGGTACCACTGCAGCGTGTGCTCCTTCACAACGCGCATCTCCGGCAACCTGCGCAGACACGCCCGCCTCCACACGGGGGCGAAGCCCTACCAGTGCCCCTACTGCAAGTTCAAGTGCAACAACATGGTAAGCGAGCGACTGAAGCTGCGCAAACAGTGGCTAAAACGGGCAACGTTGCAGGGCAATCTGCGCAGACACGTGCTCAGCACCAGCAAGCACCCGGGCAAGTGCGTGTACGAGTGCAGGTTCTGCGAGGGGGCGCCCCCGTTCCAGACCAACGTTGCCAAACTGTTCAACGTCCATTTGACCTGCATTCATGCCGACCAGTTCAGCGACGGCCCGAAGGCCGCCAGCTACATCAGCGGCATTTACGAGGCGCAAGAGGACAACACCATCCTGATGGAGGTGGACAATGCGGACGATCCACCGGAAGAAGCCAGCGACAGGTCAGTGACATTGACAGTGAGTGGGTGACAGCGTGACGTTGACAGTGACTGTTGCAGATTTACCACGAACGAGGACCCAGTGGTGGCTGTGCCAGCACTGGCAGACGCCCCCAGCCAGGATCTGCCACTGTTTGTGGTGCCAGAGAATGCAGCGTTGGCGCCCTGGAGCCTGATCGGGCGCTATGACGTCGAGGAATCCGGCATTTTGGTGCCGTTCCAGAACAGCGACGAGGACGACCTGTTCCAGGAGCCGTTCTAACCCCAAAAACAAAGGGGGCGTGGCCTTGATAAATCGCCCGTCAGATAGCGTGTCAGTCGGCCATCAATCACTCAGCAGGCGGCGCAAGATGGCGGCTTGACAGCGCGCTAAATCATCGGGCAACCCGGCAATCATTCGCTATAAATAGTGCGCGGCCTACTTCGTTCTCATCAATGCTGATTGATTTTTTTGATTAGCGCACTCTTCGATGCAGGGGCGCGCCCATTATTCTCCACCTGACGGGCCAATTAAATCGACCCATCGGCCATAAATTGTTGGATGGCTGGCGGGCAGCCATGCTTTTGAGACGGATTTGTCATTGTCATTGTCAGTGTCAGTTGATGAGTGTGTGTGGTAGGTATGACGTCACGCAGTGACCAAGTGCAGAGCCACGCCCCAAAAAAAAATTTTATTTGTAAAAAACGGCCGATGTCTGACCGGCCGAATTAATAAACCGTCAAATCGGCCCCGTGAAGGCAAACGAGGTATCATACCGTACCAGCAGCCAGCCACTAGAGACGCTCACAAAGACAATAAATAACCACTTTGGACGTGTGATTAATGTCAACGAAATAAATAATGTTGGATCTTTGGAAATGCTGCATTAATAATCTGACATCGGGAATATGATTATACTAAATTATTAACATTCCTCTCGAACCCGCGCGTCACATAAAATACGTGGATTTATTCGCTTTTCAACTGGCTGCGCTCGCTTGAATCAGACCACTCTGGGTGTTTTTGTCGTTTTTTCCTTTCTGAGATGCGCCGGCGATAAACCCGACCGTCATTTAACGACAATAGAGCGACGTTTATCGCTGTCAAATCGGCGACGTTGGCCTGGATGCATCCAGAGGGCAGCAGCGCCTTGTAACTCGCTCGGCCAAATGCTCCAGTGGGCGACGCCATTTTGCGCCATTGGCACAGTGACGAATCAAGGTAGTCGCTGGCGCGAATGATTGACAGGACAAGTGAACTCGGACTGAACAATCGACGAATCGCAGCAGGCCGGAAATTTATGCGGCCGTCAAGATGGAGCCCCGTTGTGCCGCGGGCTCGACCCCAAAAAATTCCATCCACTGTGCCGATGAAGACGTTTCGAAGAGCTTCGGGTGATTAAACAGACGGCGGTCGCGTTTAAGGGTGGCTTTTATCCGAAAGAAATCGACGAGTTCAACGGCAGCAAATCGGCGATTTGTCTTCACGCCGCATACAAATCTGCGAGCGGCGCACTTCTGACATCGTGGACACTTTGACTGAGCCTTTTGGCCCAGACACGAATGTGTGGTCGGGCTGGCGCAATTTTTCCTTTTGCCTCGCCACCTTAATCACTGTCCCCTTTCTTAATTGGGTCGCTTTTGTATCTCTGCGCTCAAGGCCCCAGCGGCTGTTACCAAGACGAGGAGT